GATTGACAAGTTTTAAACCGAACATCGCAAATACAAGAATATACTAAAGATATGTACAACCCACAGAGGAGACACTCTAGTTGTCGTATCAGTAAAAACTGATAATGCGCCGCTTGAACACTTCGGTTCCACACATATCCGTGCAGCGTTTTCATCAAAGCTGAGGAACACCGTCACGAGGAAATATAACACACCTTAGAAAAATGCAAACTACATGCTATATCTTCATAGACTGAGAAGGCACCTTCTTTTTTGTATCCATTCCAAACAAATGAGCGAACATTTCAAAACATCAACGGACCCCACCATAAATGCAACCTACATACCATAACATCACATGTTGAACAGATAACGTACCTCTCATGCACAACCATGCCATACGTAATAGTGAGGTTTAAACTCGATAAACACTAGCACGAAGAGATAGTAAGAACATAGTAAACCAGGCATACATGCAAATCTCCATACCAAAACATTACATGTGAATCAAATTACGCTTCCCTCGTGCAGGGCCATACGGAATAGGGAAGATTCACACCGCCCAACACCGGTATTAAGAAGGAGGCAGCAAGAACAATATAAATCCACCACACATACAAACTATGTATCATATCATTCTTATTGTAGTCGCATGAACGGTGTACACCTCATAGCTGATCCGATCGCTTCAGTACACAGATGGACACCATAGAGACTCTCCACCAACTCAACTAACCCGAGGTCTCGGATACCAAGGGCGATCATTGTATCATGACCACTCTTACTATCAACTATATTACATGCAATACTACTCGCATTACCAACATGAAGAGAATAATACTCAATATATAGTAGGATATACACCATATTCTTGCCCGGCGAATATATCATACCTCGTATCTGATCCTGTAGCTTCAGTCCATAGATGGTACTCATCGCTTCTTTAAACTGTTCAACCTCTTTGATTTTGCCAAAGGTGATAGTAGTACTATCATCATTCTCTCCAACACGTACATCTGCTGCATTATCATTCTTAATACCAACATTGCGAGAACTGATTTCAGCTGTGGATAGCGTATTCTTCTCTGATTGAATGTCCTTTGTATTTCTCACTCTATTGCCAGCTACAACAGTGTGTGGTTTTGACGATGCAAAACGGATGTTAGTCTGTGGTGCGTGAACCCGCCTCAGTTTTGCATTTTTTTGCATGTGATTCGGCATATGTCTGGCATTGAGTTGTGTGTGTTTGTGCGCATGGAGTATATACGAGTGATATAATTGTGTATGTATACACCTATAAGGCATACCACTACCGGTGTGCATGCGTCTAACGTTTGTGCATACGCTTTTCAACCCGTTTACAGCCTGCCTATGTGATACATCTGTGCATATGTGTACATTTCTCACACCTACTATACTATATTTATAGAATAATTGCGCAGGTGCATGTGCGCTTGTGAGATGTCTCACCAGTCCACGCTGTCTGTGTATCTGCCGCTGTAGGGTCGCGTTGTGTTTTCCGAACATGGTATAGTCCATCTGTGTGTTTGGCGATGTACGTGCCGTTGCACACCTCAACCCCCAAAGCATTGTTGTATAAAAACTAATATAGTGGAATGTATTCTCTTGACAAGCGTATATTCAGATATTTAAAGAAGCGTATGTAATAAGTCGATGAAACAAGGATAGCATCCTACGCAATCAACTATAAGCTGCGACAGGCCTCAATTCTAGCATATGTATAATGGCATAGCCTTCTGAAGCTATTCACCAAAAACAATCATACATTCTATTACCCAGACGATCGTTCATATTACTGCCCAGTGCCCACATAGACAGTAGTATAAAATATAAATAAATACATACCACCACAGTCCAACCTCTCTAGCGACCTATATATATATATATATATATATATATATATATATATATATATATATAGTATACGGTAGTACGTTAACCG